TATATATATATATTCCACCAAAATATGTTAAACATTAAAAAATTTTTGTTTTAAATCTTTACATTTCACATCTTCTTTACATTTAAAAAAATCTTCTTAATTAAAAATTTTATTCAGGAAAAAGATAATTTTATATTGAATAAAATAAATTTAAGCTCTTCTTATGAGAGAATTAATAGCACTTTATTTTTTAATATACTAACATTTTATGTGTTAAGATTTTTTAAATGACTTTTAAATTCAAGAAAAAAATTTTATTTTAAGAACTTATGATTAAACTTTTGTTTAAAAAAGATTGATTCCATATTTGTCTCTAGTATTTTTGTTTTTAATAATTATATGTGACACATATCCTATGAGAATGCTGTAACACGCGCGATCGCTCTATCAGCGATTTGCACTTACCGAGCCATACGACGGATACCGTATCTTCTCCTAGCTCGTAATATCACTCAATGGAAGACGCAAAATAGAATGACGATGCGTATTCGCGTGATCATTAGGCATCGCTTTCGATATCACAATGTGAGTAATAATCTAATCGATTAGCTAATCGATCGCAGACACGCGACGCGAAACTTCTTCTCGGAAACTTTCGCATCCTTATTTCGCATCCTTATTTCAGATATAACGATCGATAAAGTTCGCAAATGTATCCACGAGAAATCTTCTCGACACGCGTGAAGCGAACGCGCTTCACCGCATTGCAAACCGAATATAGGTCAATTTTCACTTCGCGCGCGAGTATCACTTTTTCGATGATGATATCCGAGGGAACTTTGAACCACAATTGCAAAATAACGTCGATATCGTGCGATGAATATGTCACTGTATCGTTGCAGCTCACGTTCCCATCGGTGTGAGTGAATGATTTATTTTCTCGATAAACACCTCTCACCGTGGTCTATGCGCTCCACCTACGCGGCCGCAAATCCGATCGACAAAATTGCCACGGAGCTTCCACTACCACCTATGAAGTAATCACTCACTGCTTCCCCATTTGATAGTAATGTTCGCATCGCTGTCTATCCGGCGCAATTGCGCCGCGTGAATCGCGCTCGATACTTGCGTCACGATGTTATCGTTGCTCTGCAGACGATTATTGACATGCGAATACAGTGACTCGTGAAATTAATCTCTCTCGTTTTGGTTTTTTTTTTTTTGCCGAGAAAGAAACACACATTTGTGGCACAACGCGCGCACAGTCCTCTCAAATCCGCCACTGGAAGTACAAGGCACGATCCAAGTGATCCGGTTAAATTTGGGAGAGATTTATAATAATCCGCGACAAAAGCGCAAAATCGAAAATGTTGTCGAGCGAAACTATCGCTAAGACGGTCTCTTGGTCAAGACGCGAAAGCGTTTACAGTTTGTAAAGCTGAGCTCTCCACTGCGTTACTGGTGACCGTTGGCATTATCATTGCTCGACTAATAGACCCCTTCCGGTCAGGAATCATGGGATCGCGACCACGAGAATACGTCAAGCAATGTTGTCATTGCGCGCCTACGATAGCCTGACAGATCAAGTGTTTCGTGTAAAGAGTTTGTAACTGCGAAGAAAAAGTAAAGAATGATAAGAAATCCTAATATTTTGATTCTATGAGTTTTTCATTGTTAAAGATATCACGCTAACGGTTAATGCTCTTTCTTCGTGATATTTGTTATATGAGAAGGTACACAAAACGCATGAATCTTTCAAATTTCTCAATAGAATTTTTCTGAGAATAGCAATATCGAAAAAGCATAAATAACGTGCACGTTTTTATTACTTTTAATGTTTTTAACAGCAACGTCATTCAGAAAATTATATTGAAAGGTGATATTGTTTACTGATCCCTTTAATAACTTCAAGGCATAGTCGTGACGCTGCGGACAGTAGTTGAAGGATAACGCAAACGAAACGAGTTAATTCCTTTTTACTTTGGAATGTAAATTTCTCTCTTCGTATTTCGTATATGCGAATTTGCACGAGTAATTTCTACATATCAACTCTGTTAATTCTATAAACGAAACGAATGGATGAATGCGAATATAAATTCATACTCAGGAAATATAAAGTTTTAACACAAATGTCATCAACGAAATGAATGAGTTCATATTCCGTCTCTGAAAGCATATGTATGAATGAAACAGATATCTACTATATATACTATCTATTATTCGGAAGTAGAAATACCTTATTATATATTCCAAATTCAAACTATATAATATTTTATTTTTTTCTTCTTCAGAATATGAATTTATCATGATACTTATTATCATTATTATTTTCAAGTTAAATAACTTCAAACATATTCGAAGATATTCTTATTATAAAATATGTACGGTGTAACGGACAATAATCTTTCTATATGTCAAAATAATCTCGTGCAAATTTTCAAAGTAAGAGATAGCGTCTTTAAATGAAGTAATTGATTTCATTTCTCATCTAAAAACCATTCGTTCTTGACAAATAATCGATCTATTAAATTATATTATAACTATCGTAGACTATTGAGTCAATATTTGCAGGAAGATAGAGGGAGAAAGATGAATGTCATGCATTATTACATGTTTGGAATGTAGATCTTGGCACTTTAGAAGATTCAAAAGATTTCAAATTAAGATAACGGATACATGATTGCTAATTAAATCCGACAGTATTCGCATTTATGAAGAGGAAGATATTAGAGCTTCCTGCTGCTTTCCGCTGTGTTAATCTCTTTTAATAATGATACTTTTACACGATATCTTTTAAATTCCCTTTTTTTAACGTAATAAAACGCAAAAAGATGCATATCACAAAGAATTATATTTAAGAAGCTATAATTCACAACAAAATAATGTCGCATTATTGAAAGGAAAAATAATGAAAAAATAAATATTAAGAGAAAGCGGTGGCAGCTGTAAATGACATTCGGTAAATTTTTTTAATCTGTAAACAATAAATAAAACAACTACGCATATGCGAAACATAAATTTGCTTAAAATATGTCGCGTTATAAATTATAAAACGGCTTGTATGCATAATACGCTTTTAACGTCGTGCTTCTCAAAGCACGAATTGTGATTTGTGGCAAAGCTTTAGGCATAATGTGAGCTCGAGAACAGTAATTAGCACATCGAGTATTTGGACGAGGGGCAAAGTGCGAGTCCCTTTAGTTAACTAGTTGACGTCGCCCAAATCGATTCGTCTTCGCTTGCCCGACAATGGCTCGCCCCGCTTCGTTTGTACGGCGGTTGGCGTAGAATAAATTGTACAATCTAACGAGAGAGAGAGAGAGAGAGAGAGAGAGAGAGAGAGAGAGAGAGAGAGAGCAAGAAAGAGAGAGGAACACTCTGTTAAATTGAATGACGTCGACACTTCGATAATACCGTTTGCGGCAGAGACACTTTTTTCATTTTCCATGCCAGTTTGTGCGATTGATTTTCGTTCCGAAAAGAGCAGAGAAAAGAAAGTTAGAAAGCATGAAATTTAATTTGTTGAAAAATAATCTGTCCTTACCCTAACAAGAACTCGTAATCATAATCCTAAATATTAATGTTTTTTCGATAACGCAATATATAAAAAATGAGACATATCGATCGCAGGTGAAGCCTTTAACTTGCGATTAATGTAAAATATGAATGAAGCATATTCATAATTTACGTTATATTGCTTATAATTCGAAAACAGTTACGATTTCATTACATTACGGTTAAATTATCTAATCGTACTCCATAACTTCTACCTACTTCATCTTTTATAATAAACTTGATGAGATGCTTTCAACTTAATTGTACAGTCGGGTACGCAAGAAATTTTACACACATTCATTCACTATACAAAGACTATACTTTTATATGTTTAACATATCATACGCTCAAACATCGTTGCTTACGTAGCCTA